TTGTACTAAATTACATATATTTAATTTAATTCCTGTGTATCGCACTTGATGTATGTAATATAGGATCCTTCCGGATAGAAAGTGTAGACAGTCACAAAATATAATTCATACGTGTGTCTTTTTTACAGGGGCGGACGTCATGAAACTATCAAGGGCTACCAACGAAACAATAGACCCCAAATTAGTGCAAGTGGTATTGGGGCGATATCACTTGCTCGAAGAGCAAGGAGAAGGATCTGCCATACGTAAAGTCGCGAGCTACGTGATTCACCCCGATTATGAGCACTATATTAGCACTGATTTCAATATGGCGGTTTTGACCCTCGAGAGCCCCGTCGAGTTCACTCCTTTTATCAGGCCTATTTGTCTATGGTCTGGTTCACCTACATTTGAAAAAGTCATTAATAGGGTAGGATACACCGTAGGATGGGGTAAAGACGAGCATGAGCAACGTGATTCTCAATTACAACGGATGTTGAAGGCGTCGATAATGAGTCTAGTAAGTAGTCAATTGTCATTATAAAATTACTGTTTATTGCATTTAATTTTAACATATGTTTATGTCAGAGTCATTGAAGGTCTCGAGGTGAATTTGGTTGCACAAATTACAGGAGGACTGTATCAAGGATGATATTGGATACTCTTATGTGACCACAAATAATACTTATTGTGCTCGTTCCCTTGACAACAACCGTCCTTGTTGGGGTAACAGTGGGGACGGGATGATACTTCTGAACAATATCACTGGCAGTTATGAGTTGCGTGGCATTATTGCGGGAATTTTAGTTCCACCCGGCTATGCCTTCTGCGATCCACGATTACACGTCATCTATGTCGATGTGGCCAAATACGTACCCTGGATTCAAGAACAAATTTCGGTGTAACGTTCGTCTCCAGTCGCAAAACGCAATAAATGGTAATCGATAAGTTTCTTTATGTAAAGTTTATTCGATGATGCGGTACTTATATGTAAACAGTTACTCACTAGAATTAAGTAGTTACGAATTTTGCTTTTGATTATATATTCCGAGTATTCTTCTAACGTCTTTCTAATCTGGATACAAGGCAGAATAAATAAGTAACATACATATAATTATTTGCCATATTGGACTTATTACTAATAAAAAAAATGAATCATAACACGTGTTAGAATATGTTTACCTATATACCTATTTAATACCTTGTGAAAATAGAGAAAATATTTTAAATTACATGTATTAATAAATATATTTATTTAAACAGATGTTACTTGCTCCCTTTTTGAGCTTTGTTGTACGCGTAGTTATGCACGGAATGGTTGCGACGCTTTGTCTTTTATTGAGTCTAGTAACACGCATTTAAAGTTAGAGTTACGCTTTAAATCTTCTCCGAGGAATATTTTACTCCATGGCCATTCCGAAACCATTTTGAGGCATTTGCGATCTATTTCTCGATTAAAATTTTCCTTAGAGAAAATGTTTTGGACCGTAAACGAGAAACTAAATGTGCGTTTCTAAACTTATCAAAAACAATGTTGCAACTATTCTGTTCCTCACTGTATCAACTA